ACCCTGTGCACACGGCACAGCGCACAGGGCCCCCTCACCTGGTTTAGCCCGCCGGTCGAGACGGTTGCCCGGGGTGTGGCCGCTGAGCAGAGCCCAGCTACGTGGAGCCACAGGTGAGAGTTGAGTGCCAGCAAGTGGACGCTAGTAGTGGACGCTATAGTAGTTCGTTCACCACACGGCCAGCAGGGTCAGCCGATTCAATCGCTTGAATCCTGTGTGTGCGTAGACTTTACGCGCCCTGTCCCACAAGTGCGTTTACGTCAAGTTTCGCGGCCGTATGTCCCCACTCTGGGGCTTCGTGCCACCTCTCGTCGCCCGCTATGTCGGCTGGCCACGAATTTGCTCGTCTTTTTCTTGCGAGGTCGCCGTCCAGTGCGCGTTTATTACTTCTCAACAGCCTTTTCGTTCGGAATCACCAGTGGGATAGGATGTGGTGGTGTTGAAGAATCGTTGGGTTTTGCGTGTCCGAAAAGTGTAAACACTAGCAGACTTGACGGGGCCTTGAACGTGTATAAAATCAGCACGTTTTGCGAGCACTCTTCATTGGTAAACGCATCCCGTGTATGCGACTTGCCCAATCTGTCTTCTGAGTCAAAATGGCAAGGGAATAACTGCATAGGAACATGGAAGAACTTGCCTCAACGACCGACATGGCCCTCTTCAGCGTCCTTTTCACTCTTAGAATGCCGTCAGTCGAGAAATTGTCACTCATGCCAGCATAGCTCGGTAAGTCCCTTAGCCTCGAAGTCCTCATTTCCGAGTTGCCATGATTTGTTTTTGGTTTTCATGACAGCCGTGATTAACATAATAACAATGGCCATTCCAGTCTCCCTTGTCTTTGTCGGCAATACCATTCTGCCTATTTATCATGCGTCGCTGTGCGGCTGCTGGTTGGGCTCGAGAGAGAGTCCATAAGGCACAACGGAACGAGTGAGTTCCGTATGAACGATCGGTGAGCGCCCCCTAACATTGTATATTCCCGATCGAAAACCGACAAGGCAACGGGCTCGTGGCCCGGTGAGTAGAGGCGTTGACTTCTAAACCAGCAGGTCGCGAGTTCGAGGCTCGGGTGTTCCACACTTCGGGCTTGGGTATGGCTGGCTGACGACGGCTAATAAGCCAGAAATGGCCATTCCAGTCTCCCTTGTCTTTGTCGGCAATACCATTCTGCCAATAACAATTATAGTTGTTAACCTAATAGCCTCCCATATCGGCTTTGCCAACGGAACTGGGACGTACTCCGTCCATCGAGCCCACGTTCCTAACCCGTCTACCTTAATAACCGCGACCAAACGACACCTTGGTATGAAGCACGGTTAAAAGTAATTCACGTTTCAAGACGACCGATTGTCTTCTTGATGCTGCACTATCCGGTGGAAAAAACGACAACCGGTGCCTCCTACGTAGTATGTTTACCCACCGTTGTTCCGACAAATACACCCGCGATACCGCGCACTGTAGGTGTGGCACTGAAATCGCCTCTGACCTTGATTACGAGCATGACTGCCGTCGTCTGTTCTGCATCTCCTGCTCCGGGTGATCGACCTGATCCTCCGCGGCCCTTAGCTCGATGGGGATTCTTGGCCCCAGGCTCATCGGCACCGTCCTCCGTCAGCCATACGAAAATCTAGTCCCTGGCCGCCTCCGATCATCCTGCCACTGTCTTGCCATCTGATCCAGGTGGGTGAGGGATGAGATAGCGTGATAGGTGCTGCTCAAGTCGCTGTTCTGCGCCCACTCCACTGGACGCACAGAGGACATCGTCGTTCGCGATGGCCGAACTGTCATTAAGCACGTGCGGATAGTCCAATGAAATTACTTCTGCGAGGAACCCTCTTGTCACCCAAAATCAATGTGGACGGACTGAGGGTTGCTGGTGCGTCTGTTTGGACATTGGCCGTAAGATCTTTCATCATGACACATTGTCCAGAACTGTAAGGCTACCATGCACTGGCAACATGGTCATGTCTTCTGGTGCAAACTTTGAAGAACAAATTGATACACCGGCCGTGATAACGCTCGAGCTAAAGCCTGGATGCCAAGGTAAGAGGGGACAGGGCTGGGAGAAGTAATCGGAAGGATCTCTTAGTCTATTAACCGCAGTCCTTCCCCAACTGTGTTGCACCAACAGGAAACAGACACGCGGAACCGACTTTTTGACTGCGAAGTGTTATCTATTTTTATAGCTCTCCATCCCTGCCTGTCTCTTGTCCAGCTGGTAAAGGAAGCTGCCCACCCGGTGGTAAGTGATCAGAACTCTCCGTCTTGAACTCTTCAAACTCCCTTTCCCCT